CGCGCCGCTCCTGCTGTGCCCGCAGAACCTGGAGAAGCAGATGCGGCAGCTGGCTGTCGTCCCGCCCATGCTCTACGATGCTGACCAGCAGCGCATCAAGTTCATCAACATGAACGGGCTCGTGGACGACCCCATGAAGGTGTACAAGGACCGCCAGGTCATGAACGTGTGGAGCGAGCAGGAGAAGGAGACCTTCCGGGAGAAGTGAGTCTGACCCTGCGCTGAGGCCTGGCTGGCCCTCGTGCACTCTCCTTCCCAGTGTCTGTGTCCCCTTTCACAAGCGCACTGGCCGTGCTGGGGTCACACTAGGTAACTGTCCGCCACGTGGTGTCGCACTCTGAGGTGCCGCGGACTCCGTTCAGCCAGTCCCCAGGATGCGGGGGCCGCTGTGTGTCAGTGACAGGGCTGGAGTTGGGGGACATAGGCCGTGTTTTCTGTGTGCCACTCAAGCGCTCTGGCCCTGGGCTCTCCTTTTCCTCCGAGAGTGGCCATTCATCGAGCAGGCCCTCCTTGGACCCGGGGCCGGGCCGTGTCTGTGGGTGGTGCCTTTGTCCCTCTTGCCCCTCACGGCAGCCCAGCCAAGCTGTCCCTGTCCCCTGGGCTGTGAGAGGCTGTCAGGGAGAGGTTAAGAGTGCACACTCACTACGTGCTCCTCTGGCTGGGCAAGGGGCAGAGGCCTGGGCGAGTAGAAGCAGGACTGGGCTCTGAGTGGAGCCTTGGGGTCTCCAGAGCCACTGTTTTGGGGAGACGTGTGTTGTGCTTTGGGATGGAAAAAGACCTTGTCCTCCCAGGAAACTCCACAAGTTGGGTCTGAGTGGACCACACTCAGCTGCGGGGTCCAGAATGTGATGGGGGCTTGGAGGCCCCACGGTCTGCTCTGTTGTCCTTGCCACCTAAAGGCTGGGCTGCCTCCTGGGGTCCCGGGGAAACCAAGGCGTAGTTAGGATGCTGTCCCCTTGTCCCTGATGCTTCCAGGAAGAGACAAGGCCGCCCTGGGCGCCCTGGTGTCTGGCTGGTTGTGGGCAGGCCACTGGCCTCCTGCTGGGCCTCCCAGAGGCAGCATTTGGAGCCCGCGGGCAGGTGCACTCTCGGGGACCCTGGGGTCAGACTGCAGCCCTCCCCACCCTTGTGCCCAGGCTGGCCTTGGCCACATCCCCTCCCCCGCTGACCCTGCTGCTGCCACTCTTGGTGATGTCCTGGCTCTGTTGGATGTTGTGGCCCAGTGCCCTGGGCTCCCATCTGTGCTCACCACCTCCTGCCTTTGGGCACCACGCCCCACTGAACCTCTCAGGGAGGCCCAGGCCCAGCTGGGGAGGAGCCCAGAGCAGGTTTCACGGGGCACCCCCAGAGTCTGTGTGACGTCCGCGTCTTCCTGGAAGCTGTCTCCAGCGGGACAGCGATACCTCAAAGGCCTACAGCTGGTGACTCACACAGAGGAAGCCTCTGCCCTGTCCCGCCCTTCACACCCCCTGGCTTCCTTGAACCCGGGTGGGCGGTGCTTGCCAAGCCAGGCGGCAGACCTGGCAGGTGCCTGGGCGCTCACTGGCCACCCGCCTCCTCCCACAGATTTATGCAGCACCCCAAGAACTTCGGCCTGATTGCCTCGTTCCTGGAGAGAAAGGTGAGTCTCGCGGCTGCCCACTGTCCCACTCTGTCCCTTCAGTGCCTCATCCTTGGCCCTGTTGACGACCTCCTCGTGCCCAGGGTCCCTGTCACTGTCCCTGCCTGTCGTCCCCCTGGGGATGTGCAGGCCCTGTCTGGCCTGGCTGAGCCAGGAGAATCAGGGGTGCCGCGTGGCCGGTGTGCCTGGCTCCCTGCCAGCCCCTCAGAGGTGGCACTAAGCATCCTGGGAAGCTGGGGACAGAATAGGCAGGTATGGAGAACTTCGCTCCGGGTGCAGGGCAGTGGCCTCTGCGGGTTGTCAGCTTGCACAGGCCGTGGCTCACAATACCCTTCAGGCCCGAGCTGGGAGCCACCATCCTTTGGCTCTTACGGTCAGGGACCCACGTGCCCTTAAGAGTGGCCACTCTCTGTGCCTCAAGGCCAGCAGTGGCAGAGATGGCACCGTGGGCCGGAAGTCCCCAACGCTGTGGGTGCAGCAAGACGGAGGCTGCCCTGGGGGTCCCCGTGTGGCCACGCAGGGTGGCTTGGAGGGTGACTGTCATCCCGCCTGCCCTCGATGGGCTGATGGCCTCCGTCTGAGGAGGTGGGCGGGACAGTTCAGGGAGAGCTCTGTGCCTGAAAAACCAGTGTGGCAGGGATACCCTGTAGGTGTGGACGGCTGGCAGACGCCGGTGGGAACTCTGGGGCAGAGGCAGCACGGGTCAGATGGGGATTGAGCAAGGCTGTGGGGGGCACAGTCTTGGGGTATGGAGTGGGCGTCATGGTGACCTCAGCTTAGCTGCCCTGGGAGACTGCTGGCACGTGTCCAGAACGGGGCAGCAGTGGCAGGGACTCTGCCCTGTCGTCATGCAGACGCCCACTGGGCCGGTCAGCACGCGCCATGTGTGGGCTTCTGATTAGAAATTGTTCTACTGGGGCCGGGGAGGTAGCTCAGTGGCACCGCACCTGCCTCAAAAGTGCAAGGTCCTGAGTTTGATCCATGGTACCAAGAAAAAAAATGTTCTACCAGGTGTACAGGTCCGTGTCCATAATCCCAGCACTCTGGGAGGCCAAGGCAGGAAAGATTCTGAGCTTGAGCCCTGGGCAAACTGAACAAGATTCTCAAATAAAACAAAGGCCGGGAATGTAGCTCAGTGTGGAGGCCCCGAGTTCAATTATCTGTACTGTAAAGAAAAAGAAAATATCCTAGGTTGGACTGGCGGCCTTCTGGGAGGACCTGAGTTTGTGGCCCCTTCCGGGAAGATGGCCTACTGGTGGCTCTTTGCTTGGGGCAGCTGGGGTCCAGCGCACCTCTGTTCCCTCTGCAGTGGGGTCCTGGTGTCTCAGGGGCCTCCATGGCGGTGCCCCTCACTGGGCTTCTGTGGACCCTGGGCTGCCGGTGTCCAGATCCAGGGCCGTGTGGTGAAGTTGAGGTAGAGAAAGAAGGAAAGCTTGAGGTGGGACATGGGGACCCAAGTCCCTGGTGCTTGAACCCTGGATGTGGTTGTTGGGGACCCTGGGTGTCAGGGAAGGGAGGTGATACAGAGGAGAGGGCACTGGAGCTGTGTCCAGGGGGCTTGGCGTGTGTGTACCCTGTGCCGCAGGCCCTGTTTTCCGCTTGAGCTGCAATGAGGAAAAGCCAATTTTAGTGCTAACAATAGCAAGAGCGGTGCTATCGACAGCTAAAGCCTCTCAGTGTCTCTCCCGCCTCCCCTCGGTGCCTGCTTTGATCTTTGTGACAGTTCTGGGAGACGGATCTTAACAGACCCATCTTACAGACCCGAAGACCGAGGTGCAGAGAGGTTGGGTCACCGGTGCCAGGTCACTGGCTGGTCCCGGGGGAGCTGGGATTTGAGACCAGGCCTCAGCGCTCTCTCTGTCTCTGCAGACGGTGGCTGAGTGCGTCCTCTACTACTACCTGACCAAGAAGAACGAGAACTACAAGAGCCTGGTGAGGCGGAGCTACCGGCGCCGCGGCAAGAGCCAGGTGAGGGCAGGGTGCGGTGGCTTCTGGTGGGAGGCTGGTCCTACGAGGCCCCGATAGCTGTGGAACAGAGCTGGAAGATTTCTGGACCCCTGGCCCAGGGCTCAGTGGTTGCCATTATGAGGTGGCCGCATTCCTAGAGTGAGGGTTTCCTGGGACAGTGTCAGGGCAGAGGCCCTACAGACTCTAGGTTTTAAACTTTAATAGCTTTGTGTTTATTTTCATGGTTCTTGGAGAGGAAAAAAGTAGGCAGAACTTGGAGGTGCTGCTTTCCAGACGCCAATGCCAGAGTTAGGATGGGGGCAAGGGGAGGCTGAGGACAGGAAGGCAGGTCCGAGCTCTCACAGGCTTAGGCTGGTCCCCTGCCTGTTGTGAATAAAGTTTTATTGGAACACAGCCATAGTCGTAAGTTCTGGTAGGCGTGGCCACGACAGCGTGTGTTTCACCGATGTTGCAACAGGAGCTATGTGGCCCGAGGACCCTAAAATACCCAGGCCCTTTATGGGAATCATTGGCAGGCTTCTGCATCAGAGGAGAAGGAAGTTGGTTTGAAAACATTCTGTGAATGATTGTGAAGGTTTGGGGGTCAGCCATGCTTGCCATTTGCCGACAGACTAAACCAGCCCTGGCTGCACGCTGAGCATCCTGGCGAATTGCCCAGGACCGAGGCCTGCTCCTCGTCCCTGCAGATGCGTGAGGGCGGCCACTTTGGTTTGCGGCTGGGGCTTCCCTGCCGACAGATGCCTGAGGTGGTCCAAGCTTGGTGGCGTGAGCAAGGTGATTCGGAGACTTGGCTGTGGCATTCAGGGATTTTCTACACTGGAGGCGGGGTGGGGGAGCGAGTCGGTGCCAGGCAGTGGCAGAGGTGCATGGAGAGGGGCAGCAGGCCTGGGACTGCAGTGGCCAGAAAGGAGCTGAGGCCTGCCAGGTGTCCATGCCCTGACCGGCCTTCACCTGGGAGGACACCAAGGCGGGCACCCAGCAGGGCCCTGGGGGGGCTGGCTGGCAGCACCGGGAGGGGCTGTGCGTGGGAGGAGGTGGCTGAGCCTTCTGTGCCATGGGAACAGTGACATGGAGGAGAGGACGGAGCCCCTTTGTTCTGCACACACGGGGCCCCTAAGGGTGGCTCTTTACCCCACAGGAAATGGTGTGGAGCCGGCTGCTGTGTCCCTTTGGGGCCTGGGCTGGCGGCAAAGTAGATGCAGCCCCTGCTTGAGCCTGAGGTGGCCAAGGCATCAGGCCAGCCTGGTGCTGCTGCCGGGCCGGAGGATGGAGCTGCACGCTGGAGGGGCCGGTGTTCAGCGCCTCTGCAGCCTCTGGCGGATCAGGGAGGGCAGAGTCCCCGGGCCCCCATCTCTTGCTGTGGACAGACAGGCAGGCCTCAGTTTCCTTTCTGAGTGAAAGGACCTCCTGAAGAAGCCCCACAGGTTCCTGGCCAACAGAGCCCTCTGCGGCACCCCCAGCTGGCCTGGCCTGTCCCACGTCTTACACCACCCAGTCCCTCTTCCCCAGCTCAGGGCCTTACACTGGCGGGGGACACATTCCAACAGCGAAAGTGACTTGATCAAGCATTTGGGTTTCTTTGTTTTTAAGAAAGTTTACCCCAGATTTAGAAATCAGTCACTTTTTACTCTGAACGAGGGTTCCAGAGCATCGTCAGATTGAGCAGAAGGGAGGCAGTTGAGGGCAACTTGGCCGATTGCCCTGACCCTGACGGGCCGTGCTGGATGGAGACCCTGCAGCGGCCCACGTCTGCCTGAAGTGGACACAGCCTCAGGCGGCCACCAGTCCCTTGTGGCCAGGACCCTGGGGTGGGTGTCCAGGGTGCTGACTGCGGGTCCCCTGCTCCTCTTCAACTGACACTCAGCCTGCCCTGCCCTGCTGGCCCCTCCTGGTGGCCTGCTTGGTCCTTATTTTCTGGTGGGGGCAGGGTGGCGTGGCATCCCGGAGGAGCAGCGCTGGCTGCAGCGTGGGTATCTCCAGGCTACCTGGTCTCCGCCCTCGGAGGGCTTGGCCTCCCTGCCCTGGCTCCTTCCTTGCTTGGTGCCCGCCTGGCACTGGCTGCAGGTCAGGTCCGCTGTCTTCCCCAGTGCTTGTGCATTGGGACGGAGGGAGGTGCAGGCCCAGGCATGGGCTTGGGAGCCCAGGCTTTAGGCCATTGGTGTCCCCCTACTCTCGAGGTCCTGTGTGCCAAGGACACCACCCCCATCTGAGCCTGTCCCCCTGTGACCTGGCTGAGGGGCTCCAGGATCGTCCACCTTGGGTGTGCCACGTCCGTGTGGGGCCTGTGGCTGTGACTCCCACAGGAGGGCCTTGAGGCCCCTGCCCGGGGATGGGGCCTCTCCTGCCTTCTCTTTAGCTCCTGCTCTCACAGAGCCGCTGGCCATGTTGGGTGGGGTCTCAGCCCACTGGGGGCCGCTGGAGGCTGAGCTGGTCTGTGGGGCGGGACAGCACCGAGGGTCCTGGCGGTACCCAACGCCTGGCCACACCTTGCCTGGAAGCCAGTGGGGGGCCACCACGCTGTGGGTCCAGGCTGGTGAGGCCCTGGGGTGGGACACAGGGCGCTGGGTGGACAGCAGCAGAGGCCAGGTCACGTAACCTTTGTGTGGGCTGGATGTGGCACAGGGAGCTGACCCCAGGCCTGCCCAGGCTGAGGGCAGTGTGACCCTATCTGTGACGGGGACCCCCAGGCCCCGGGTCACAGGTGGGTGGAGCTTAGCAGGAGTTTCTGGGTCAGGTACACAGGCTGTGACTGGTGGCGGCCCCTGGGGCCACAGCTGCCCGGGGACCTTGGTGGCTCCTGCAGGGGTGTTATTGAGATGGTTCCCGGGGAGCAAGATGAGTGCTGGTGCCCAGTGCCCACAGGGAGATCAGGGTGGCTCTGGGGAGGCGTCGGGCTCCACCTGAGTCACCGATGAGAAGGAACAGTGTTAGAAGAAGAGTAACTGCCCCATCCAAGGACACTGCATGTGCAAAGGCCCTGAAGCCTCTCCCGGGGGCTCAGAGAGGGGGAAAGACCAGCCACGCCTAGGTAGTGGAGACTAGGGATTGTCTTTGGGTTTTAGGAGAGGGTCCCGTTTAGCATCTAAAATGGGCTTTGGGGCCAAGGGTGTCACTCAGCGTAGAGTGAGTACCTAGTGTGTTCCAGGGCCTGGATCCCAGCGCAGCACTGAAGAGAGTAAGTGAAGGGCAGGGGACTGTGTGTCTGGATGGTGCCAGGCCCTGAAGGGATGCAGCTGCAGCTGACGTTGTGATCACTGGCTGTGGCGTTTAGGGATAGCTTTGTCCGCAGTGGCCTTCGAGGTTCCTGCGGGTTCCAGCTGGCACCTGAGCTGTTGCCTGTGTACCTCTGTCTCACAGGTGCCCCCACTATGCCAGCTGAGGTAGCAGCTTCTGTCCCTGGGTCCCCAGGAAGGAGAGATGATGGCATTCAGGGCTGGGCGAGGTGTGAGGAGGGCCGCCAGGGTGGGCTCCATCAAGGAAGACGACCCAGGGGGACTTGTGAGCCGGGGTCCTGGGCTGGGGTAGATGCCGAGAAGGGTGTTTGTTGGATGAGTTAACGAATGGGACCGTATCAGAGTTGTGTGGCTGGGTACTAGAACTCTTATCTCTGCTTTTTTGAGACAGGGTTTCACTGGGTAGCCCAGGCTGGCCTCAAATTCATGGTGATCCTCCTGCCTCAGTCTCTTGAGTGGTAGTACAGGCGCGCAGCCCCACACCCAGCCTGGAATGTTCTTAACCTTTTTTTTTTTTTTTGCTGGTGCTGGGGATGAACCCCAGGCTCTTGCATGCCCAGCAAGTGTCAGCTTGTGACATCTTCAAGGAGCAGCCTGAGGAGCCCAAAGTGTGGGGCTGCAGGGCCACGCCGTGTGGGCAGCCTGCCGGCCACCCAGCAAGTCAGCTGGTGACATCTTCAAGGAGCAGCCTGAGGAGCCCAAAGTGTGGGGCTGCAGGGCCACGCCGTGTGGGCAGCCTGCCGGCCCCCCGCCCCAGCCCAGCCCAGCGTGAGGGTGTCGGGTGGTTCTGGATGTTGGACCTGTTGGGCTCCAGGCCTGGGTGGGATCAGAGCACTGGGCTTTAGGATCTTGCTGAGAAACGTTATGTGCCCTGGGTGGGCCCTGAACCTCTACTTCCAAGTCCTCGTCTGTAGAGCAGAGGGGACACTGGGCTCTAGGATGGGAGCAGCTCAAGCTGAAAGATGGAGTTGGCCTCATCGGGCTTTTGCTGTGCTTGGCGGGCGTCCGTTCTGTTAATGTTGTTTTCCAGAAGCACCATGCCTGGGGGGTGTGCTGAGGGCTGGCTCGCCGTGGATCCTGTGGCTGGGGACTCCTGAATAGCCTGGGCTGGACGCATGGGCCGGAGAGCACAGCTGCTCTCCGGGAGCTCAGGGCACTAGGGTCTCTGTCCTGCTTCTGCTCAGGGCTGGAGGTGCCTAGGCTGCCAGGGCCGAGGTCCTGGGTGCTTTGTGTATAGCAGCTGCCTGGGAGCAGGTGGAAATGCCCTAGGTCTAGGACCTGGCCCAGAGCCCTGGGTGGGAATCTGGGCACCGTTTTTGCAGGACTGGGGACAGATCCCGGGGCTTTGGCACTGAGCCACATCCCCGTCTCCTCCACCCCTTTTATTTTTTATTTTCAGTCAGGCCCCACTAAGTCAGTAAGTTGCCCAAGCTGGTCTATAATTTGAGATCCTCCTGCCTCAGCCTCCTAGAGTGCTGGGATTATAGGTGTGTGACACCATTCCTGCCTTCACACCTCAGGTCTGCACGGTGCTGGTGTAGAGTGAAGTGGGCCAGAGTGAGCCCCTACCTGCTGTTGTAAATGAAGCTTTATTGTCCCCAGCCATGCCCACTTGCCCACTAGCTGCTTTTGCTCAGGCTTTGTGGCCTGGGAGCGGCTGGAGGTCCTTATAGTGGAGCCTCACGGGGAAGGTCGGGGGTGGGGGCTGAAGTCCCGGTTCTCAGATGCCGGCTGGAATAACCTGGGGTGTCAGTGACGCTGCCTGGGCCTTGGGGTGGACGTTCTGGGTGGCAGAGCTTCGTGAGTGGGCAGCCCCAGGCCCTCGGCTCCTGACCTGGGCCTCCCTCCTGTTGTAAGCTTGTGGAGCTTGGGCTGGGTGGGGCAAGGCTGGCTGGCAGTGCCCCATCCTGGCTTACGTGATGCTCGCCTTGTCCCGCCCAAGGTGGATCCCTTGTGCCCCATACGAGCGTTGTGCCACCTACCATCCTGAGTGCTCTAAGAGGTTCTCCTGCATCAGCCTCCTAGTGCCTGGCTGAGGCATTAGCACCTTAAATACCCCTCGGTTTTGGGGGGTGTTTTGTTTTGTTTTTGGTACCAGGGATTGAACTTGGAGCCTTGAAAGGCAGGCAGCAGAACCACTGAGCTAAATCTCCGGCCCTGTTTTGTTTTTATAATAGGGATTGAACCAGGGTCTCCTCACCCCCAGCCCTTTTACATTATTTTTGTTTTATTTTGGAATAGTGTATCGCTAAGGCATTTCCAAACTGCCTACATTTGGTTCACACTTGTGATCCTTCTGCCTCAGCCCCCCAGAGTACTGGGATTATAAGTGTGCACCATGTCTGGCTGAAATACCCATTTCCAAGTTGAAGGAATCCGAGCACAGAGGTTAAGACCCTCCTCTAGGGAGCATGGACAGAACCTGGAGTACAGTACAGGCCCCTCCGCCTCCCTGGCCTTCCCCACCTCCACCCCCAGCGCACGCTGCACCCAGGTGTAGAGACGGAGATGCGCCCGCCTCACCAGCCTCCCCCACTGCAGCAGCAGCAGCCCCCTCCGCCCCCGCGCAGCAGCCAGGAGGAGAAAGAAGAGAAGGACAAGGAGGCTGAGAAGGAGGAGGAGAAGCCGGACGTGGAGAACAGCAAGGAGGAGCTCAGCAAGTAAGGCCACCTCGAGAGGCCACCCCAGGGCGGGGCGGGTGAGGACGATCTCAGGCGCCTGCCAGCCTCCGCCTCCTCCTCCTGTCACCCTTGGGATGTGTGAGACCGACCGCCCCTTTGAGCTCTGCTGCTGAGCTGGTGAATCCCAGAGTGACTTTGGCGCCCTGTCTGCTGCCCCTTCCTCCCCTGCCGCCGCCCTTCCCCCTCCCCCTCAATTCTGGCAGGAGGTGGCTGGAGGCCGAGGCAGGATTGCAGCCAGCAGAGCTGGGGGCGGCCCGCTGGGCGCCAGGTACCTGCCACAGCCAGGAATGTGGCTCTGGGAGCATCTGGCTGCCCTCCCACCCAGGCCCCGCCCGGGCCATGCGTCCTGAGCCGGCTTCCCAGAAGGCTGGGGGCAGATGGAGGTCATGTGCACCTGTGCACCTGGGTCTGGTGTTGCAGTAAGTGGGAGTGTCCCTGGGCCAGGGGTACCCAGGGCAGGGCGTGGCCACTCGCAGAGCTCTCTGGAAGGTGTCCCCTTGGGAAAAGAGCAGCCTTGGGCTTGCTGCCAGCCACACCAGCCACACCCAGTTCCGCTGGGCCCTGGGACAGTACCTAGGAAGTGCTTGGCTCCTCCCTGCAGCAGCCATGGCTCCCGCCTCCCCGATTTGCAGGCTGGTGTCCCAGGCCTCGGGCCGTGCCTGCCCCAGGAACTTGGCCCTCCCTGTGCCTGCAGCGCCCCGTCTGGCCCTCCTCTTGAGCTCCCCTGAGCTGGGAGCGGGTGGAGTCCTGTCCCCTCCTACCTCACCATGGTTCAATGATCTCCAACCCTCCGGCCTTCAGGGAGAAGACGGACGACACCTCCGGGGAGGACAATGATGAGAAGGAAGCCGTGGCCTCCAAGGGCCGCAAAACCGCCAATAGCCAGGGCCGGCGCAAGGGCCGCATCACACGCTCCATGGCCAACGAGGCCAACAATGACGAGGCCGTCACCCCGCAGCAGAGTGCCGAGCTGGGTGAGTGCAGGGACGGGAGGCTGCGGGGGGTGCCAGGGTTCAGGTCCCGCTGTGGGGCCTGGAGGACATTCCTCGCCCTCTCTGCACAACAGGGTCCTCACTGTCTTCTCTGCTGGGGCCTGGGAGGAGGGCAGACTCAGGCTGTGAGCCACCCTGGTGTCCTTCACGTGCTGCTGCACCCTCCCTCTGCCCTCGCTATCTGGATGTGGGCCTCAGTTTCTCCTGCCCCTCCCAAGAGGGCAGAGAATGACCTGAGCTGCAGTTCCCCAGCCCAGCCACAGGGGGCAGCAGTGTGCGGCTGGGGACCTGGGGCTGCCTGGTCTTTCCACTGATTGGGATGGGGGTGGGTGCCATGCAGATGAAGCGCTGCTCCCTCCTGGGGTCTGCCACATGTGCAGCCCCTCTTTGAAGAGTCTTTAGGACCCACTTCCAGATACCTCGAGGTGCACAGAAGCGGCCTCGTGCCCTGAGAGTCACAGCTGTGCTTGGGACCCCGCTGTCTCGTCTGGCGTCCCCCCAGGCCTGTGGTATCTGCGGCCCCTCAGGTGCACCTTTGCCGGGGTGGTGCTTTCCAGGCCCACGGGCTGGGCTGCAGGTGGAAACACACCCGGATTCCCCAGCTGCTGCACTGTCCTGGCACTTTCTGTTCCCAGTGAGCCCCCAGTCCCCCTGGGGTCCTACAGGACCAGCGAGAAAGTCTCTGAGATCAGCTCCCCGCTGCACCTGCCAGCTGTGTGGCCGGGGACTGTCCCCGTCATTTCCTTTGGGCCTTGGCCGGCCCTGCCCGAGCCTCTGCGCTGTCCCTTGCACTGACCCTGTGTCCGCCCCCTCGTGGCCCTGAGGCACCGGAAGTGGGGAGGGGAGGGCTGGGCTCACATTCCGGGTGCTTAGAGGGGGCCCCCTGAAATGCTGCTGCACAGTGTCGTGGCCACCCCTCTGGCCCCTGAAGCAGCTCTGGGCAGCAGGTGGCCGCTCCTGTCCTGGGCGAGTGGGGATGCCTGGGACACACTGGGTGGTCACTGTGGGTGTTCGGCGTGGGGGTCCTCAGGTGCTCCTGTCACCACCTGCCCAGGGCAGCCCCTGCCCCCGAACAGCGAGCTGGGACCCCCGATGCATGGCCCCAGGGGTGCTCCTGCCCTCACTCCCCTCACGGTGTCACTGCCCACCCACGCGGGTCACCTCTGCCCGGCAGAGTGCAGGCTGAGCCAGCTGTCATGGCCAGGACGCTCGGAGATCAGGAGGCAGAATGCGGCCCCTTGGTGCTCCCGCTGACCACCATGTCCCTTTGCAGCTTCTCTGGAGATGAACGAGAGCTCGCGGTGGACGGAGGAGGAGATGGAGACCGCCAAGAGAGGTGAGGCCTTGGGCAGCGTGGTGGTGGCTCTCCGGTGTGGGGCCCTTGGAGCCCTGTGTCCGTCTCGGCACTGTGACCTCGGGTCTGGGCCTCTGCATGGGATGGTGACGCTTTTCCTAGGAGCCCAGGCCAGGCGCAGTGCTTGTGGCAGTCACCACTTGGGTGTCCGTGTGCCGCGGAGGCTGTGGGCATGCACGTGAAACTGGACTCGGGTGTTAGCGACCTGACCTTCGCGGGCTAGGACAGTGGAGCCAGTTGCCCACTGAGAAAGTCCCGAGACTGAGCTTTGGTGTTGTGGGAGCTGGGGTGGTGGTGTCGGGCAGAGGCCACGCTCTGGTTCCTGGTGACCTTGTGACAGGCAGCATGGAGAGGAGGCTGGGGCACCGGGGGCGGGCCAGTGTGGCCACTGTGGTGGACCTGACTCCTGGAAACCGTGGTTTGCTGGCTGTGGCTTCCTGGCCTTGGTGGCATCTGTAGACAGACTGGTGGCCTGGCCGGCAGCCAGTGTGGGGCCTGGTGCTGAGGTTCCAGGCCAGGCCACCTCCTAGCGGTGGTGAGGGTCCCCTCCGCTTGCACCCTGGGGAGACACCTGTCCCCACACAGTACTGTCCCCAGCTCTAAGGCACTCACCGTGATGACATGCACAGGGTCCAGCTGCTGCACTGTCAGGCACAGACAGTATCGAGGCCGTGGCCCGGGACCACCGAGGCAGGTCAGGGCGGCCCCTCCCAGGAGCCTGGCAGGCAAGTCAGGTGTCCTGGAGCAGCAGGCACTTAGCCATCACCTTCCTGCTGCTGCCTGGGTCGAGCGGCTGAGGGGCCTGGAGTCGGATCTGTCCCGGAGGCCTTGAGCTGAGGACCCACAGTGCTCAGTGCGTCTCGGGCCCTGTCCTTCCCTTGGCCTCCTGCGGGCCCTGCCCTTTGTCCCCGCAGAGTGCACCTCTGGGTTCCAGGCCAGGACGAAGTGGCATGCAGCAAGGGCCTGGGTCCTGGGTGACTGTGGAAAGGAGCAGGCCCGGTTTGGGCTTCTGGTTCCGGGGCTCAGGGAAGTGCAAGGGTGCCAGCCGCCCCCAGAGGGCCGCAGGGCCAATTCTCGTGTCCGTGTCCCCGGTGGTCTCTGCAGGAAGCCCAGCCTCTGTCCCATCAGTGAATATGGACACAACTTGGGCTGTGGTCTCGGCTGCTGAAGGTGACACTCGGGGTGTCCAGAGAGCCCCGTGTCGACCACCCCTGTCCCCGCTGCCCAGCTCTGTGCGTTCGTACCCCACAGGAGCAGAGGCCCTTGCCCATTTGCTGGAGCCCTGTCCCTGTGCCCCACTGCCCTGGTGGCTGCTAGAAGCCTCTGCCTCTGTCCCTGCGGTGGCCAGTGCTGCCTTCCGGGCATCTGGGTATGGAGTCATGTGTGGCCCCCACATCCGCCTCTGCTGGCAGTGCCCTCCTGGATCTCCTCGGCCTGATGGCAGCCTGTTTACAGCGTGTGTTGTGTGCACTGCTGCTGTGAACACTCATGTACAATGGCACAGTGATTGTTGTCTTACTGCTGGAGACTGAACCTGGGACCTTTATCCTGAGCTACTTCCCCAGTCCTTTTTAAATTCCAAGACAGGTGTCACTAGGTTGGCCAGGCTGAGCTTGAACTTGTGATCCTCCTGCCTCAGCCTCCCAGAGTGCTGGGATGATAGGCGTGTGGCACCGTGTCCAGCTAACGTGAATTTTGACATGGTTTTACTCATGCAAGATAATTGAAAAATTCAGATGGCCTACAACTAAAGGTATAGGCACATGGCAGTTGGTTACGTGGTTTGTTGTTTGGGATTCTGAGTCAGGGACAGTGGTCCTGCCTCAGCCCCCTACTGTCTTGGGCTCCCTGGTAGCGTGAGGTCTGCCCTGGTCCTCGCACCCTGTCCCTGTTTCCTTGGGAAGGGCAGAAGGGCCGCAGACTGAGTCACTGCCTGGGTGGTGCGTGCCCTGCGGCCTCGAGGTTGGACACGCAGAAGGGGCCGCGCTGAGCTCATGGGCTGCCCACGCGTCGGGAGCCGGGGGTGCTGGAGCCGCACGGTGACATTTGTAATGGTGCCTGAGCTCAGCGCCAGTGTGCTGTGCCGTGAATTACAGCAATCTGGACAATTATCGCACAGGGAGGCTGCCGAGGGCGGGCGGCGTGTTCCGGCGGGGGTGGGAGCAGGTGCGGCCCGAGACTCCTTCCCTGCCGCCCGCCCCCGGGAGCACGCAGTGTGGAGAGGCCCAGCAGCAGCTGTGCCCGGGCAGGTGGCATCGCCGTCCTTCAGCCCAGTGGGGGCCGGGCGCTGCCGTGTATGAAGACTCTTCACCCTCAGTAAGCCTTTATTATTTGCTTTATTTAAAAGAGCAGGGCCAGGGATGCAGCTCAGTGGCTCTGCATCTGCTGGGCAAGCACAAGGTCCTGAGTTCAATCCCCAGTATCCAAAAAAAAAAAAAGAAAGAAAGAAACTGAAGCCCAGAGAGGTTTAGTGAGCTGCCTAAGGTCACACTGTTCTAGGTACAGAGTAGAAATGAAGGTGACGTGAAGATTGAATGAGCTGGAGTGCTGCTCCCCAAGAGGAAAAGAGGCAAAGGCATCACCTGCAGGGAACAGCATATGTACAGGTCCTGTGGCAGGGCAGTGAGGCCTCATCCTGAGAGTAGAGGCGCAAAGGTGGACTTTGGCTGTTGATCTGGGAGGACAGAGAGGGAACGTGAGGGCCACAGGGTCTCCGTTTGTGCAGGGGTCAGGGCTGCTGCCCTGGGCCCACCTTGGACAGGGACGGAGACAGAGCAGGAAGCCGTCTCCCTGGTAACCTGCAGCCGGGGAGCCAGCCGCCTGGGCCGGGTGCCACGTGGTAGGGTGCTGGCAAGTGCTGGCCGGCCCAGGCCCGTTTCCCCTGAGAAGGGTCGGCCCAGCCTGGCTCAGAGTCTTGACCCTCAGAGTGGGAGCCTCCTGCCCCTTAGTGGCCAGGAGCCTGCAGGAGGGCAGGGGACCTGGGGAGCAGAGTGGGGCACAGTGGCTGAGCCCTGGACACTGCTTGTCCTCCCCTGCTGCCCAGTCGGTGGGCAGTGCAGCCCAGCGGTCAGTGTGTGGGGCTGTGGCAGAGACCTGGGCACGGGGCTGCTGAGGCCCGAAGGCTGGATGGTGCTGTGCCTGTGCCCCTGGTGGAGTTGCATCTGGGGACACTGGGGGCCTTGGCTTGGCGTGTTCCACGGGCAGAAAACCCTGAGCTGAGGCTGAGCACGGGCAGGAGTCGTGGGGCAGCCAGGGGGACAGGAAAGGGGCAGTGGGCCGTGTGGGGTGAAGTTCCTGCACAAAACAGTAGGGCCAGCCTGGGCCTGGGCTTCTGCCCCTTTGGCAGCAGAGACCAGGAGGTTTTGTTTGCAAATGAGGCTCTCAAGGAAGCCCCCTTGCTGGAGGCCGTGGTTCAGAGTGCTTGCTCTGGGTCAGGGCTGACTTGGGCCAGCAGGACCGTGCTGAACAGGGCCACAGAGAGCTGCTGGTACGCAGGAGGGAGGAGGGAGCCAGGGCCTTGCAGTTGGGAGATAAAGTCGCCACCCATCCTCTGGCCAGGCTTGTGGTCCCTTTCACTTCCTACTTCCCGAGCCTTAATTCCCAGAACCACATGCTTCCTTAGAAGAGGGCTGGGGAGTCCAGACCACAGCATGTGCTGGCAGCCCTGCTTTCGGGGCACCCACCCCGCTGCTTCACATGCCAGCATGCCCCAGACTCCAACGCTGGAGGTGTCTGAAGTTTTGTTCTCTGCCAAGTGCCCACTGCACACCCAGTACCCATGGGCAGAGGGGTAGGGGCAGCGAACTGTGGATCAGAGTGCTGACTGGGGGAAGCAAGAGCCATGGAGGCAGTAAACCTGGGCATGTCTTTGGTGGTGCCATCCTTCTCTGAGGAGGTGGCACTCAAGCCCAGCCTGTAAGGCAGATATAGGGCTGTGAGAAAGCCAGGTCTGGTGGGAACAACAGGTGCAAATGGCCTGTGGCACCCTTGGGGTTCAGTGTAAGAGGCTGAGGGGCTGCATAAGCCAGGGAGCAGCGCTGGCCCTCGGAGGCCTTGGGGCTCCTTCAGGGGATGCAGGTCCTGGGGAGGTCATGGGAGGCCAGGGATGACACCATATGCTTGGCGTCCTTCATGACTCGCCCAGATCTCCCGGGGGTGTGGGTGTGGGACCCAGGGTTGCATGCCCGCCTGGGACAAAGGCTGGCCTTGGGCTGGGGGTGCGGGGAGCCCCGGAGATGCCTGTTGCCCCCGGGAATGCCAAGAGTTGGAAGGAAGAGCAAGTCAATGAACCTGAGTGTCGGGGAAACTGGCCCTGACCCAGATCCTGCTCCAAAATTCGGCTGGGTTACAGCGCAGCCTCCCAGGAAACACCTGGGATGGGGAACAGGTGCTGGGATGGGGTGGGGAGCAAACCCAGCTTCCTGCTGAGCGCGCAGTCCCGCGCCCCCACGGCTCCCCCGGCAGGCGGCAGGGTGGGTGGAGACTCGGACCAGCGCAGGTGGAGCGGCGG